TGATTTCTTTTATTATTATTATTATTATTATTACTACTACTACTACTACCCGCATAGGTAGGGACCTCCCGGACTGCCATACAAAGAATTTACAATTTCTTTAGTAATTATGGGCGGTATATATGCGTATTGCATGCCCTCATCTCATAAATATTAATTGTTCCGGGTAATTAATAATATAACTTTTTTATGCCATTCAATTTTTTCATTATTTTTTATGCTCATGATTCTCATAATCCGCATAAAAAATATCATACATTTTATACTCATTTTTTGTTTGTGGTTATTTTTTTTTTCATTGAAACTAATTATTCCCCTCCGGCCTCCTATATTTTTCCTTTCTTTGCACTTCACTCTAATTTGGTTTGTATTTGCTTTTGGAACAGCTTTGATATTACTAGTGGAAATTGCAACAATTGACAGGCCCTTTTCTATATATTATGAGTATTATCAAGAATCAAAAGTGAAACTGCATTGGAGATAATTTTTTTTGCCAAAAGACGCATGGGAGATAAATGATTGATTGATTGTTTGGTTAGGGAGAAATTTTTAATAATATTGAAAATGAAAAAAATTATTCAATATTAGCAAAATATGAAACCTCATAGGGAAACTTTATCGAATGTAAAACTATTGTATTTAATTTTCTTTTAGTATATTATGATGTATTTTTTATATTACAAGTATGTTTTTATATGTATAAATTATATAATGCACCCATGATTCAAAATTTTTGGGTCCGTCATATCAAAACTCAACTTATTTAAATTTTCTTTATATAAAAAATGGACTTGCTTTAGTGCTCATAAGAGGATGGGTATCATGGTACTTATCATTGTTAATGAGATAGGGCCATTCAAATATAAAAATTTTAAATTATAATTTAAAAAAATAGTTATTTTTTTGGGTGTTTCAGGTAGGATATCTTTTTGTTTATTTTCTATTTAAAAATTATATAAAAATCATAAAATTTTTAATAAATTTTCTTATCACCCATTTGAATAATCTAAATTTAATATGAACACATGGTACAAATTTAGTAATATTTTTTTTATAATTTTAATAAATTTATTGTTCAGTTAGGACAATCCGGACTTAATATTAAAAAATTTCCTATTTTTTTTTATAGTTTATCATTTTAATAGATACAATATCAAAAATAAAAATAATTTTGTAATTGGCAATTTGTTTAAGAAAATGATTTTATTTAAATAGAAGTTCATAGATAGAATTAATGAAATACTCTATCAAGTTCTATTTATAAGTCACTTCTAGTATTTTTATTAGAACCAAAGAAAACCATGAACCTCATTAGCTCGGTTTAAAATTTTAACAAGAATTTTACTTTTATTAAATATCCATACTTTAGTTTACCAAAAAAAAAAGTATACATACTTTAGAAATAATCATTGGGAGTGCAGTACAAGCATTTAGAGGAAGCTACCATGCAAGTTACTTAGGAAGTTTTAATATTTCTTGTACTATTGGTAAATGAACTATTGATAAATGCCTATGTGACTCGGGTGCTGTTGTTAACCTTATGTCTCTATCTGTATGTAAGAAGCTCGGGATCATCAACAAAAAACCAACAAATACCATTCTACAAATGGCAGATAGATCGTTGAAATACCCATATGGCATTGTGGAGGATCTCTTAGTGAAAATTGGTACTCTCTATCTACCCCGTTGACTTCATATAATACAATAATTAGAAGACGAGAGAGGTATACCTCTCATCTTGCGCAGACATTATCTAGTACTAGCGGTGGTAGATTCATGTTCCCCAGGAGAATTAATTTTTCAAATAGGTAAAGAGCAAGGAAATCTTTGAATTTGCCAAACCTACTAAACTCTATTTGTTATGACGCTGTTTGCTGCCATCAGGAGGGAGATAGTTGTACAGCCATCCTTCACATACTACAGAAAAGAAAGCACCCGTCTCATCTTTAGATGGGGTTCCTTGACTCCAAAGCGTTTTCTATCTAAAGACATTAAGCGTAGCTATTATTGTGAGGCAATCCAATTTTTCTAATTCTTAAATTATTTCCTATTTTTATTTTCAGCATTTTTGTTTACAAATTTCAATTTTTTGGTTTTTTGGTAATCCCTTTTAATGAGACCAAATTGATGAAGAGAAGACCGAACAAAGCGACACGATCACTCCAGGCCCCAAATTTACGCATGCAGCTGCACACTTTGCAGTCTCTGGCTAATCATAGGGAAGTATTAGTCCTTCAAAGTTTTTATTTGCCATTTTGTTTTTGCTATGGAATCAACAGTGAGGACATTGAGACATCTAAAGTGTGGGGGAGGCCTTCATGACCAATGTTGGCCTTCACATCAAACAGCCCAGTGAATGTCAAGAGTATGTTAGTAGCACCTTAGGAAAAACAAATTCCTCTGTCTAAGTGATCGTGCCCTTATATCATCAATAAGAGGGTTCAATTTATACACTACTTTTGATATACACTACTCTGAGACGCATGTCAAAAGGTAATTCAACTTCTAAATTAAATTAAATATCTTTCTTATGATATCAAATAAGGCTTGGGCTAATGAGCTTTTAATGTTCTAGGGTGAGAAAAGTATATATAAGAGACTTTAGGGAGCCTCATTTAGATCATCCAATTTCATATGAGAGTTAGGAGGTAGAGCACGTAGTCCAGAGGAGTTCTTTTGAGTTTTGGAAGTTTTTCCTCTTCTCTTTCCTTATTATTTTGTTTGTGTATTTGATTACGGATTTTTGTATTGGCTCTATAAATTCTTTCTAAACCTCGAGTCTGGGCATGGAGTAGAGTGGTTGGGATACATTTATTCATTTTATTTGGTTTTATTTATTTTTTCCATTGAACATGAGTTTTTGTCTATGAGAATTTAAATTTATGTTTATATTTATCTCTTTGCTTTATTTATCTTTTCATATATATGGCTACTCTACAACCTATATGAGGTTTACTCAATAAACTGAGAGGTGAAGAACTAAAACCTAAAGAGATAGATACAAATAATTAAATTAGATATAATTTAGGATCTGTAATGACTTAAATTATAGCTTTATGATCTAATTAGTGCCTTTTGAGTTAGGTGGGAGCTAGTGTAATGCTGGTTAGATACTCTAATATACTAATATAATGTAATTAAAATACCTTGTAAACGATTGTCACTATAAATAAAAGGAAATAAATAACTAAATTAGGGTAAGCCATCCTAGTAGGTGAATCCTAATCTATGATATTTGTTTGATTGATTTGGTTCATTGTTTTTATCGTTACTCTCTTGGTTTGTATTATTTAATTAGATATTAAATACCTTCTTAAAACTAGCTATTAGTTTGTATAAAATAATAAAGTGACCACTTTCTGTGGTTTGACTTGGAATATTTCAGAAATTATTACTATATCAATCTTGTATACTTGCGGGAGCAATCAGTTGCAGCTAGCTAATAGTTGAAAAGAAAGGAAGGATAAATGGATTGTTCAATAATTTAAAAATACATAAAATGCTACCAATAGCTAGATCCCCAAACACAACTAATGTAAAGCTTCAAAAACCAACTTTTAATCTGGCTATGATTTTGAAAGAAAAGCGCTCATGTGTCAACTGCTCTTGCCAAAACGTATTTCTTTACTCCCAATGACTAGCTTTTAAGTTTACAAACTATATTTTGATCCAAATAACTGCATACCAACAAGCACTGAAAGATCTTAACAAGTCAAGGTGTGCCTGTGCCTGTGGGTAAATGTGATATTTAAGGAGTGAGAAGCTGTGATTGCAGTGTTTGTTGATGAATAAAAAATTAAAAATGCTATCCAGGTTTGAGTTTTAGTTTATATTACATTCCACGCGTTTCACCATCTTTATTATTTAATTTAATCTGGTTTACTTCGAGGTAATCATATCATGAAGTGATATTAATTGTATTAATTTTATAGTTATCAGATTGAGACTAAACAGCGTTCTGATGACCATTAAGATTACATAGTGATATATAATATATAACTTCCTTATAATATGGGTACTAGTCTGTGCTTTATTGTGATTGTAGTGTTTGTTGATGAATAAATAATTAGTAATGTTATTATCGAGATTTGAATTTTAGTTTATATTATCTTCCAAGCGTTTCACCCATCTTTATTATTTAAGTTAATCTGGTTTATTTCGAGGTGATCATATCATGAATTAATATTAATTATATTAATTTTATAGTTATCAGATTGAGACTAAGAGCCTTCTGTTGAACACTAATGTTACTTAGTGATATATAATATATAACTGCCTTAGAATATGGGTACTAGTCTGTGCTTTATATATATATATATATATATATTTAAGGGGGTTTAACCATGATTGCAGCGTTTGTTGATGGATAAACAATTAGAAATGTTATTGAGATTTGAATTTTAGTTTATATTATCTTCCACGCGTTTCACCCATCTTTATTATTTAATTTAATCTGGTTTACTTCGAGGTGATCATATCGTGAAGTAATATTAATTATATTAATTTTGTAGTTATCAGATTGAGACTAAGCAGCGTTCTGTTGAACACTAATGTTACTTAGTGATATATAATATATAACTACCTTAGAATATGGGTACTAGTCTGTGCTTTATATATATGGATTGAGAAAATTAGAATAAGGGGGGAAAACAAGGGAGGATATCAAGTATCTATGCTCCTCTCAAGGGGAATAATTTCATACACAGCCCAAATAATTTTGAAACTTCTCTACATTCAAGATCTTAAGCTAAAATTAATTTTTTTTGGTTCAATTATTAAAATGCCATTTGTTTCATGGTAATAATAATATGCAGATTGCTAATTCATTGACGCATTCACGATGATCGAAAAAATTGCACGGGGCATACTAAAATAAAAATAATTAAAGTAGAGACAAATGATCTAAAAAAAATATAAACAAAAAAGTACATATATGTAATTAGATTGATGGCGTAACGTTGGTCTACTCCAAAGATGCTGAAATCCTTTAGAAGAGTTGATTAGTGATCCAAACAAATTCACATACATCTCTTAGTTGTTGACAATATAATCAATCTAGTTTATAGGAGTGAAGAGAAAAACTTAAACAACTCTAAAATGTTTGGAAATCCCCCCAATCTTGCCAAAACCAACTAATTAAATGGTCTCATGATCATGACATCCATCAGCATGCATTTTCAATATACAAATAGCATGATTAAAAAGATGTACCTATATAAATTACCATGAAACAATAAGAATAAAATTGGAACCCAACATTTGAAAGCCAAATGATCATCGTCCATCTGCAATTTCAGATGCAATCTCCTTCAACATGCAATCATAACAAGCTAAAGTACCAGCACCAATTATTGCCCCATCTAAATTAGGTAAATGACCAAGTAAGTATTCACTTTCTTCTAGCATAAGATCTTCATTCTTCATCCAAGGATGTTTGTCCATTGCAATTAGACCCTCTAGTTCCTTTGCTACTTCCTTCATTGTGGGCCTTTCATCTCCTTTTACTCTTACACACCTCATTGCCAATAAAGCTACTTCCTTCAATTGCTTTGCATTCTTTTGTTCTAATATTCGTTTGTCAAGAATTTCCCAAAATTGATTTTCTCTCATTGAAGACACAAAATGCATTGCCAAATTTACATGTTCTGGCCATCTAAATTCAATTGCTTTGTTTCCGGTGAGTAACTCAATAAGTACAACTCCAAAACTATAAACATCACTCTTATCATTCAATTGACCTATGTGAAGATATTCTGGATCCAAATATCCAAATGTTCCTTGTACCATAGTAGTAACATGAGTTTCATCTAGAGGAATAAGTCTTGAAGCTCCAAAATCAGATACCTTTGCTTTGAGGTTATGGTCTAAGAGTATGTTAGTAGATTTAATATCTCGATGAATAATTGGAATAGAAGCAGAAGAGTGTAAATATGAAATAGCCTCAGCAGTTTCTGCTGCTATCCTTAATCGAGTCTCCCATGTAAAAGAAAGCTCATTCTTTGAAGGATCAATGTGCTTAAGAAGAGTTCCATTATCCACAAACTCATAAACTAACAATGGGACATCAGTTTCGAGACAACACCCCAAAAGTTTGACAACATTACGATGGTTGATTTGAGAAAGAACAAACACTTCATTGATAAAATCCTTAATTTGCCTTGAATTCCCTTCTACTTTGGACTTCTTGATGGCAACAAGAGTATTGTCTGGTAATATACCTTTATAAACTGTGCCTTGTCCACCATGACCAATAATTCTACTTTGATCAAAGTTGTTTGTGGCATCATTAAGCTCAACTTCTGTAAATATTTTGGTTTTGTCACTGTAACCTTGATGTTGTGAAAGTTGTTGTAGCAACATGTATCCTCCATTCTGCTCAAAATTTCTCTCTTTGAGCTGTTTTAGAATTCTTCGCTTATGCGACCAATATAATGTGGATATCAATGTAATGACAACCAACAAGGCTACACTAATACCTGCAAGCAAATGTAGACACGTGATCATTTTTAGTAGGGGAAAGGTTTTGAATTTTGACCTAAACATGTTTCAAGAATAGAATTTCTTGTTCATTAAATTTCAAATTATATCCACTCCAATCTGATAGAATGAAACATCCTTAAATTAAATAAAGGCTAAATGTACATTTTTATCCTTGAAGTATTCTCCAAAGAACATCCAATACTCTAAACTATTTAGCGTGGCATTTTTGCCTTTGAGATAATTAAAACATAGCATTTCCCACCTTCACGTTAAGTAAGCACAAGCATCCGTTAGTCAATGCTGACTAGGACTAAAATTCTATGAAAGTCCATGAATTGAAACTCTATTAGAAACTCTGACCATATAGGCATGCTTGGTGGTTCTATGCGTGGCTCTGGTCGGTGCACCCATGGGTGACGCTGCCATCACTTGTGGTCAAGTGTCACCATTAGTGTCTTGGCCTGCCTCGGCTTCCTCCAAAGGAGTGGCGCTCCCGCCACCGCCTACTGCAGGGGCATTTGCTCCCTCACCTCTAATGCTAAGACCACCGCCGAAAAAGAGGCCATCTGCAACTGCTCAAGTTTGACAGCGGTCAAATCCAATCCCTAGCTTTAACAACTACAACACTCAGTCTCTCCCTGCCCAGTGAGGTGAGAGACTGATCGCTTTTCTTTCTTCCTCTTTTGGATATAAGTGCAAGCAAGAAGACCTGCAAGCCAAGCCAAAAGCTCTCTGCTTCTGGAGGAGAACCCAGTTCACAAAGTGATCCTAGGAAAAGCCCATCTTTGAATATTGTTCAGTACATTGATGAGACCTAGAACCACGAGCCTCATCTACGTCCCTCTGATCCTTACCAGAGATCCTAAGCCAGGTTTTGGGGTGATTACGTTGACAAGAATGTCAACATGCTATCTTGCCGTAACTATATTACACTCCCACGAGTTAGAGTCTTTCAAAGAGCATTTAAAACCATGCAAGCAGTTGTCCATACCAAAACAAAGCACCAAATTATCTTTAAAGGATGGAAAGGTCAGTTAATAAAACTATATATGATATATTACTTAATGTTGAGTTGAATGGGTCTGTCAAACCTCTCACAAGAAATCAAACAAACCCAAGAAAGGCCTAATCAATAAGGTCGATTGTGAATGATGCAGGCATACAGTATAGGAAAGAAAGTGTGGATGAAGAAAGAGAAACAGCAAGAAGGGAAAAGAGAGTTCATTGAGTGCCTGAAGAAGACCCCTGAAACCGAGAGAGTTTTTTCGCCCCTTATTAGTAGTTTTGCTGAGGAGCCTCTTCCTCGGAATCTGTCGCCCCTCGCCGTGAAGCAAGGGGTCGGCCAGAACCAGTAGCCTTGGGTTCGGGCTGTGCTATCCGTTAATGTCTACAAACGCTTGTGAGGTGAGAAGAAGAATAAAAAGAGCGAAGACTGATTCAAAGAAGAGAACAAGTGTTAACCAAGAGGGAGAGGATGCATTGTTTTTATAAATTTCTCTATAATCTTTCCAGCAAAAGCCAAGTGTTTGCCACCAAGTTAGCCCAATGGGTGTTTGTGTTTACTTAATGTCAGGATAAAGAATGTTGCGTTTTAATTACTTTAAGAGTGAACATGCTACATCAAATAGTTTAGAGTGTAAGGTGCTCCTTAAATAATACTTCAAAAGTACAAATGCATATATATCCTTGAAAAAATTGTGCTTTGAATATATGGAAAGAATATTTAAATATTGTCCCACGGGACAGAGCTTAATTAAATTAATAAACTGAGATCACATTGATTAGTAAATTCTAAAATGATGGGTATTGAAAACCCCATCATGTTAATGAGTACTTAGTAATAAAACCACCATTCCTATTGCTGAACAAAGAAAAAGATATCGCTCGTGTACTGTTATGAAAAATTAAAAACCATATCATGATTGGGCCCAAAATAAATCATATCACGATGAGAATTTTTAGTTTTTGAAACTCATTCAAAAAAGATGAAACAAAATAGAGTCCTTCATATGTATCCTCACCTAATGCAATTATGAGAATAAGTAATTGTTGATTAGATTGAGGAGCGTCCAAAGTACATCCCCTTCCATTAGTGTAGCCGTCGCCTTTATATCCAGATGGACAAGAACATTGGTAGGTCCCATTGAAATTCCGACATTGATTCGGCATACTACAGTTATTCGGTCTGCTACACTCATCAACATCTATAATCAACAAAAGAATATTAGTATTACTTAATGTCATTCCTATGTCAATATATATTAGCAAATAGAACTCGCACCTCTCAAAAAGAGAGCCATGACCAATACAATTTCCACACTACTAGAGAGAAGATTTTTTTAGCTAATGTACGTATTTTGAATTTTTTGGATTGGTCCTTTTCTTCGGGTAGAAATAAGGGATATAAAAAATTGAACTTTCTTGCTCAATTCTTAAGTAGATCTAATAAAAATTTTCTCTATGCCAGTTATTGTATGAAACAATTTAAAAAGTTTAAATTAAATTAAAAATCAAACTTTAATGATTTTGAAAGTTAACTTTCTTAATTTTTAGATGTAGAAAAGCATTTTCTAGGTCGGTTATTAGTTCCTCATTGATCTAGAATTTTTTGTTTCTTATAATATATATATATATATATATATTTCACTAAATTGATTCTCATCTTTCCTGTTACCAGTTAGGACAGTAACAATCCCAACCAGCTATAATAAACCATAATGCATTGAGAGAGAGAGAGAGAGAGAGAGAGAGAGAGAGAGAGAGAGATGTTTACAACAAGGCTCATGTGTTACTAATGAACCAAACTTTGAGCAAATAAAAACTTGCAAAGTGGCTTCCCGTATGCTCTCCTCATCCTTATATATAGGATGTTTTCTAAAAACTTATATTGTTCATCATATATAAGAGGTGTCATAATAATTTTGAGTAATTGAACAATTTTACCTTTGATATTAATTGTATACTTTACTCATGACATGATATTAATTATCATGACATTAGTATGGGCAAAAATGAAAACTTGTCATAACTTTATGTGCTTTCAACTATATAATAAACTTTTGTCAATATACAAGATGCAGTTAAAAACACCTTTTTTGTTAGAACTTTAGGGAAAGAGGGAATAACTGTGACAAAGAAAACCAAATTAGATATTATCATGATCTTACCCATTATGCCCCAAAATACTCATTAATGTCATATATAGTCTAATATATGTAGCCTCAAAGTAAATCTCATCAGCTAACTATTTTCCCCCGAAGCCTGTCCGTTGAACCACTTTAAGAAAGTCTTATTGTGCATATTCACTAACCGTTTATCATTCTAGAGTTTTCTATACTGGTTACTTATGCGTGTGCCTAAATAAGGTTAAACCTCATCATAGGAAAAAAAAAAAGAAATAGAAATATATATATATAGAAATAGAATTACCGTGACATCCACTTGGGTGGTATGGATTTCCCTGAAAGCCAGATTTACATGTGCAAGTGTACCCAACTCCATCACTGGAATCTACACAATCTGTGTTGGATTTGCAGGCAAAATCTTCTTCATTACTAGAATTAGCGGCAGTTTGACAAGTAACATTTGAAACAGTCCAATCCACAACAAGTGGTGCCCTATCTATGGGAAAGTTTTGTAGATAATCAAGAGAGAAACTAAACCAATCATTTCTAGCAACAAAAGCAGCACTACAGTTGTTGAATCTCCACACGTTGGTATGGTTATCGACACTAGCTGCATAAAAGCTGATATTATTCATTCCTGCAGGAATATCCACGTGGCAACACCCAGTCCCTGAACAAGTCTTATCAATCATATCTTTTGGAGGTGGTTTGTCTGTGTCACATAGAGCCACGCAGCCACTATAATGAGTAAAGTTCTTGTTGAATCTAATGATGCCCAAAGCATCACAACCAATACTGAGGAACTTGTTTTGGGTGCTGGAAATCGTGAAACCCTTGGTGTAAAGATCGTGAAACTTGCCTGTTCGATTGTAACAACCTTTGGAGATGAGCATTGAAATGTCCATTTGACTTTGTTGAAGGGATATGTTGGAGACTGGGTGCTTCTCAAAGTACAACGTGGATGTGGCGTTGTCACAAGTGAGATTGAATGACTGATCCAAGAAACAGTTTCGAGAAGTACCAGGTTGTACCCCGACACCAAATGGATAAGGAATGTCCACGTCACCGCATTTGTCGGGACAGCCGGCAAGGGATTGGGCTTGAGTTACTGCCATGGCTGCAGCTAAAAGATTAATGAGAAAGAGAAGCTTAAGCACCATCATCATCACTTTAATTCTCAGCTGGTGGCTATGAATTGTATAGAGCTTTTTATAAGTAAATTATACATATACACGCACATACGGGTTCTGTGTTTAATTCCCTCATTAGTTTAAGGTACGCTACGGTATTCATATAAAGTTTTTATAAATAAGGTAATTTCTTAGAAATTATATGTGAGCTGAGAGAAGAAGAAAGATAAATATTTGATAAATGATAATACATGCAGCAGAAGTCAAATTACAAAACGTAATATATATATATATATATATATACATATATATCTGAGTGCGCGGGGGCGCGCTTAGGTGACACAAAGGTTATTTATTATGGAAGACTGGGAATGGATGACCAATTCTGCGTTGACATCGAGAACAATATTAATTACAAGAAAGTTCTTCTGCATGATACAAAACTGAATTGATTAATGTTGCGCACATGGATAGAAACTTCTTTCCTTTCTTTAATTTCTTTTGTTTTGTCTTGGTCCTTCAAGGGTGGATAAGGATAAGATTATTAGACCGATTGAGAACATTTGAATTTCATATATATTTGTGTGTGTGTGTGTATACACCCCAAATCTTCGTCCAGGTTTGAATTTAATCAAGGAAATTATTGTCTTCAACGTTTTACTCATCTTATTATAATGTATTACTTAGGTTATTTCAATGTCATGATCATATTAAGTATATATGAAGCCATTCCTATTTGTCTGCATCAAGACATAATAATTAATTTTTTTTAACCAACAATAATTGAAGTTATTCGACCATCAGTTTCAGCATGATCTTCTCAATATTCACCTGACCTCACAATTGACCGACGGCACCGTTCAAATTAGAAATTATTACACCCTCCTTGTGAACAAGGTTATATATATATATATATATATATCAACAGATAGAAATTAGAGCGGCCAAAAGCATAGTATTAAAGGCAAATTCTTGGGATCACGATCTGTTTGTTTCGTGATAAATATGCTTGACAATCTACTTCCCATTGCTCATACATATTATGCAAAAGCAAACACGTTCTTGGCTCATATGATTAAGTTGTAATTCTACCAACACTACTACAAAATATACTTTTTACTACGCTGGCCCCATTTTAGGTCACTTTATGTAAAAGGCAGGTAAAAAATAGAGACAGTGGTTTTTTAGTAATTAGATTGCTAATAAGGAAAGATATTCATGTCACTTCTGTGAACAAGGACGTGGAAAATGAAAAATCTGCATTGCTTGCTTTGGCACTACAAAAAAATTAATTTTCAATGGCAACTTGAAAAGTCACACTTAAAAGTTTTCAACTGTGACAAAAAGTCATCACAATATCACCACAAGGGCTCTTTTCACTAATTCTATCTGCAACGATAATAAAAACCATCGTTTGAAAAATATACAATCAGCAGTGACCACGGAAAGATAGTCACTATTGAAAGCTTGTCGTCGCAGAAACCACAAACCAATGGCAACTATTTACTCTTTGTTGAAAGTTGAGCAACAATGATGACATATATTGTTGCAAAAACTATCAATCAGCAGTGACTTTTTGTCACCGCTAAAGAGTGATCTAGTATGTGGCGCCATGTCACCCTGTTCCACATGGCACCACATCACATGCCACGTGTTGCCCATGTCACCCTTCAAGTGTCATAGTAGAAACTACCAATTAATGGTGACTTTTTTGTCACTGCTAAAAAGTGATATAGTACATGAGGCCACATCACTTGTCACGTGTCATTATGTCACTAATTTATATTTTTATTTCATTAATTTCCTTCTCCATGGTTTGAATTTATGACCGCCTTCATTTATATCCCACCATATTGCCATTGAGTTGGAATGAACTTACAGTCTATTATTATGTAATTAAATGTATATTATTAAACAAAACAAACACTCATATAAATAGATAATATTTGATTTGTTTTATAATTCAATTACACACATATATCTTAAATATTAAATATTATAAAATATTATTACCATCATTAAATACTTCAATTTAATTCCTTTAATTTATTAAAATTCTAAATTATATTATTTTGTATAAAGTAAACTATAAATACAATTGATACAATATCATTTATATTATTTATTTTATTTTTTTACTCCTTGAGGTTATTGTATTATTTATTTTAATATTTATATTTATAATTATAATATAAAAAGTATCTAAAAATAAATAATAAAAATATAGATGATTACATATTAGATCATAATTATTTATTTTTCTAGATAGTTTTAATTAAAATTTTATTTTTACTTTTAATTAATAACAACTCTCAAGTAATTACTTGACTTGTTTTAAATTTATATTTTTCTTTTTAATTATTTTTTATTTTTAAGTGATAATTTTATAAAAAAAAATTATGTGCTATATCATCTAATTTTTTGACATCAAACCAAAATTCATATAGCATCACATACATAGATATATTTTATATATTCTAAAAATTAAAAGTAGAATTTTAGAATATCTTATTTCTTTTCTTTTTCTCTTCCTCTTTCCTATCATTAGTCGTCAAACCGGGAACCTCTAAAATCTAAACCAATATCAAGTTTCAAAGTTACCAATATTAAATGTAAAATTTAAATTAAAAAATTAGGTTAGTTGAAATATCATTCTATGGATAAATAAATTTAACTATTACATGCATAATTAATTATTATAAACAAGTAATGTATTGTTTGAAATATCAATTTAATCATAAAACATTTAAAAATAGAGACTCATTACTACATTATATGCATTTCAAATTAAAATATCAAGCAATAGATTTTTTGAAGAATTTATTACTTCACATATGGATGTGCATCGGTCAATTAAATTAGATTCAATGTTAATTGACCAAACCTTAAGAACCAAAACTAGCATTAATAGTTGAATTAAACGGAACATTACTTGATAACAAAAATTGACCTGAAATAATATGAGTTCCCTTTATTCTTTATTCTGACTCATTAGCATTAAATAATATCTTATTCTTATCTTAAAATAATTTTAGTATTTTAAAGTATCAATTTAACCTTAAATATATTATTAAATGAAAACTCATTACCTTATGTTATATATTTATCAAAAAGCAACAATGATACAACACAATTAATATCTTAAAATGTTAAATATAGGATAAATAAAAAATAAAAAATATGATGATAATATCCAATTACTATTAATTGTCACGAAAATCAAACTTTTAGTTGCGACAATCAAAGTCACCACTGAAAATCACATCGTGGCAACTCTAAAAAGTCACCACTGATTGTGAACTTCCAACGATGACTTATATGTCACTATTGAAGCTTAGATTTTTGATAACAATATGTATTTATTGCTGTTAAAAGTTTGACAATCACGACGACTTTAAATTGTCATTGTAAAAAATCTCACTTTTATCATCTCCGCTGATTGTTTACTTTCAGCAGTGAATTTTTAGAGTCACCACTAAAAGTTATCGCTGAAAGTCATTCTTTTTATGGTGTGGGTGCTGGAAATCTTAATACCTTTGGTGTAAAGATTGTGAAATATTAATAATTGTAACAAAATTTGGAGATGAACATTGAAAGGTCCAATTGACTTTGTTGGAGGGACATGTTAGAGATTGGGTGCTTCTCAAAGTACAACATGGATGTGGCGTTGTCACAAGTGAGACTAAATGACGGATCCAACAAACAGCTTTGAGAAGTACCAAGTTGTACCCTGACACCAAATGGATATGGAATGTCCACGTCTCCGCATATGCCAGGATGGTGCACGAAGGATTAAACTTCATGATAAACTCCCATAAGTGCACATAATCGATCTAGTGATAAAACCCAAAATATTCCAAAAGTTGAACTCAGAGAAAGATAGTGATCTTTATTATATATAAAAGAAAATAAGAATTTTGAAAAGGATTTATTGACTAATTTAAATGATGCAAAATGATAAAAAAATGATAAAAGCAATGAAAATGAGAACCAACCAATCACAGAAGTGCCAAGGATCAGGATTCATGCACCTACCAAGAGGGATTATCCTAGTTCAATAATTATCTTCCCTGCTTATTTATATTAGCAATCATTTTTAAGGTGTCTTAATTACCTTTCAGTATATTAGGATGTATTTAATTAGAGTTAAATTTAGCTCTCACTAAATTTTAATATCTAACTAAACCATAAATCTACTATCTAAGCCACCACAGACTTCTAAATTATTCACAATTTAGTTATTTGCGTTTATCTCTCTAGGTTTAGGTAAGCTTTCACCTTCCAATTCATCAAACTACCCACAAATAGATTATATACTAGCTAGCCACATATAAAAAGTAATTAAAATGAGAGAGATAAATATAAAAACAAATATAAATTTCATAGAAAAAATTTAATGTTTAACAAGACAATAAACAAAACCAAATAAAAATAAAATCCATTCCAACCAGGCTACTTTTTATCTTGATTGAGAGTTTAAAAATAACTCAGAGAGTTAAAACTATATTTCAAATAAAAGAAATAAAAAAGTCTAAAGAAGATGAAAAGATAGAAATCTCCTAGCTCAGAAGAGCTCTTTTAGACTCTGTAATATGCCTCCTAACCTTTAGATATAAGATTGGATGTGTTGAGAGGATTTTGAGAGGGCTTTATAATTAATTCAAACTCCATGGGCTCAGAATCCATCCAGATCATGTCTTATCTTTTTAATATGCTGTTATTTGATTTAAAATAATTTGAAATATTAATTTTTTGCCTATTTTTCCTTCGTCCCCATGCAATCGTACTTAGTTTAGCCATTTCTATGGCTGGATGAAGTTAGGACTTGCTCGGATCACCATGTGGTGAGTTGCGTCCGTTAGAGGAGACATCCTTCACAAACTTGTCCACGTCCTTTTTGACTTGATTCTTTGGTCTTGTACTCTAGGCTTCGCGTTTTAAGGCTTTTCTCATGTTATTTTATCTCATTTTCCTGAAAATACATCAAAGTCTCTAAGTGAGTTTTTTTAATCTCATTTTATCT